TGTCTCATTTAACATGCATTGAAACTTGACCACAAGGAGAAAAATTAGACAAAAAAGTGAATCCAGATCATATAGCTAATCTTTCAAATTATTTAAACTGCATTAATAACTCAGATTACATTCCACATTGTTGCCAAAGTTGTATGCACAAATTAAAGATAATTTTAACGACCTGATGATCTCTACATGCTGCGGTAAGGAATTGGAAAATCAAAATTTTAAGGAAAAATAATGCTCAAGTTCATTTGTTAAGTCAGTCAATATAAAATTCAAACCACCATAAATAAATAAAATATTTATAATGTTTGCAAAAATATTGTTTCAATTTGAAAACGGAAAGCTAACAAATGTAAACACAGCATGCAAAAGCACAACATAAACTAATCTGCTCAGATAAGTGGGAACTAACATAATATGCACCTAGCACTGATAAAAATCAACCTTAAATTCTTAGTTATTAGTTAAAAGCTTATTAGTTAGAAGTTTTCATTTTATTTACAAACAAATCAAATCTGCCAGGCAAACTTATTGATGAAAAAGTATTTAAAGCAGTAACCAAAAAAACATGCAATGAATTGTTTACACATACATATTTCAATCAATTATGTTACCACAAAGCTTATTTCGCTAACACACACAGAAGAGAAAGGGTTACAAATATATTTAAATATGCTTTTTGCATACTAACTTTACATGTGTTCTTACTGAAGATACTCAGCCTAAAACTATGTATACAACAGCCAATGTATGGCCAAAAGCAATTTTGAATGCTGCAAATGTCATAAGATGGTACAAAACTATCCCAACTTGTGAAATTAATAAAAAGAAATCACTCATAAAAATAACATATCTGGAATGTTCATGTTATGCTACACTGCAAATACCCTAGAATGTGAGCTGTATATGCAAATGTTTAAGCAAAGATTATTTTGGTCTCAAAGCTGCACAAAAAATATTGAAAACAATAATAATAAATGAAAAATGCAGATGAAAATGAAAGAATTTCAAAACTACTGAAAAAGATCACTAAATTATTTGAACCACAAATTATGAACAGAAATTTTAGAGGTCATCACACTAACACTACTAAAGGCAGAAATATAAAAGCAATTTTCTTAAACAATAGGTTTAAAATAACATTATTTGCTTAATGAAAAAGCATGAAGCAATAAAAGGATTATACTTCCAAGCTTATGCACTGTAAAAGCAGGATAGTACAATTCATCAGTTTACTTACCAATTAAATTTCACCCTCAATAAATAAACTATATTCAGTGAATATTTAAAAAAACTTGCTCATCTGTTTCAACAGTGAAGAGCTCATGACAGCTTAAATATATGGGGGGAAAAAGTATTTAAATGGTTCTAATACATTGTTAAAAATTAATAATGCATCCTTGATATGTTACTTTGGGGAAGGAGTCATACAGTGTTAAAGAACTGGCAATTATACCCAACAAAGAACTGCCACTTTGCCAAGGACCAATATTAATACAATTTTCTATGGATTTTTTTCACAAAAAAATAATTTTTTAAAAAATATACAGAATATACATTTTTATTTAAACAAGGAATATATACATTCCTACCTTACAATGGTTGGAAAATGCTAAGTCCTTCTTACACATAAAGCTTTTTTAGATTGTGTTACATATTATTTTTTAGTAAAAAACAGCATTCTCTATTATTGGGAGAACTAAGTACATATTTACATATCACATAGGTCTACATATATATAAGTGCGAGTGCTCACATATGCTATTTCATACGGTTCTGTTTCCTAAAGGATCATATAAACACATCACATTAAGCCAAATAAAATTTCAGCAGCTGCCTTTGTAGAGGTGCACATACATATTCATACTTGTCACTTAACTGCAATGCAGGTATTTTGGATTCGAGAGGTTAAATGCAATAGCCTTTCAAGCCAAAAACTGAAGATGAAAAGGGTTACAGAAAGTGAAGTTTAATTATCTACTTTGGGTGATATCATTTACATCCTCAGACTTTTATGTTTTACGCTAATATTTTAATTATTCTTTGACTTTTTTTACCCATTAGTTAAAACTGCAGGATTAATTTTCATGGGAACTCTGTAAAATTAATCATTGTAATTCTTTGGTAGCTGACATCTGGGGGGGGGGGGGGGGGAAGAGCTCCGGAAAAGGGACAAAATTTTCTCTTCATGATTTCTCATAAACAAAGCCCTTTCTTGTGATCTTTAAATAAATGAGTTCAAACTAAGTTGACAACAAACTGAAGCATTAAAATTTAATTCACAAATGATACAATGAGATTTACAAACTATGCAGTTTTCTTTCATATAAATCCACAATTTCCCCTTATCTTTTCTTATTGTTACATAAATCACTTTCTCTTCAGGAAAATAAAATTAAGGATAGAAAACAAAGGTCCACCTCCTAAAAGTTATAAAAGGAACCAATGCCAAAATAGTATTTGAAACTTGATTAACATTTTATAAATGCAGATTTTAATCACATCTGAAATGTTTAATATGCAATCCCTTTACGATTTCAATAATCACGTATTTTATGCAAAATGGGAATAAAACAGAATATTTTCATTAATGTATTCTTATTCCCCCCTTCCCCAAAAATTACATAAAATATATTTTACAATTTGTCACACTATATTTCATTTTTTCCGACAGCCAAATCCTTTAACTATAATTAATTAACTATAATTTCCTGTGACATTATAGTTAATTTAATGTTGAAAAGACTGCTTTAATGAATCCTTATTTTTAAATTTATTTTATTTATATAATTTGAGCAAACTACAAATTCTGACATAAAATGCTGAAACAACTTCCCCAGAATTTTTCATTTTAAAAAATACTCTGATTAGATATGTCTACGAATAAGAAGCATAATATATATTTTTCACACTATGCTTGCTGGAATTTGAAAAGTGTCAGAATATTTTTTCTCTTTTGAAAGAACTATAAAAATATGTATTTTTCATGAAATAAATACCAGCAGCATATTCTCTTGAAGCAAAACATTAAAAACAGCTTAATGCAGTCCGTGCATCTTGATAACCTAACTACACAGTACTACATAATACAAAGACACTTAAAAGTTAACTACACTGAAAGACATGGAAATATTAGTAACTTATGCACTGACTGACCACAAATGCTCCCCCCACCCCCCAAAAAGCCAAAATTTTAAGTTACATGATATTGAGTTGAATATAGAACAAATGAATAAATTACACTTCCTTTTATTTATTTTTTATTTGTATGTGTGTGCTTTATATGCATGCACATTTGATTTCCCCTGTGCATGTGGAGAGATCCGATTCTTAATTTCACTTTGGCACTAAATAAAATACCTCATTATTGAAGAAACAATCATTTTAGCATAAATTTGTATGATCAATAATTTCGCTCCTGAGCTGCATGTCTGTTAGACATACAGATACATCGTTGATTTTACACCTACTAATATTTTCTACCAATGCCAACCTAGTGAATAATTATTATATTTTGATTTCATCACCGCATGTTTATCAACATGACAACTTAAGTCAGACTCATGTAGTGACGCCCAAACAATTTTTTTTTATACTAGCCATTGAATAACAAAGAGTATGTTGACATTACATTTGGCGATGATTACAGATTTAACCCTTTAACTGTCAAGTTATTTTGATGATTTGGGTACACATATTGTCAAATTTTTTTATTGGAAAAACCAAATGTAGCCGAAATAAACATCTCCCGATATATATTCGGGTATGACAATACGATGCACTCAAAAAAAAAAAAAATTACCCCGAGAAATACTCGGGCGTGACATTTTCGAACACCAGTGCTATCTCGGGCATGACGGTTAAAAGGTTAAGTTAAATCCAGTAAGAAATGCTGACAGGAAAAATTTAACAAAAATTTCTCTACATATGCTAAAAATAAATTTTTTTAATGACACTTATAGTCCAAAAGATTACATTTAGTGCTATTTGAATTAAGAATAACTGATTTGTTATTCATATAAACCCATAACCAGCGTCAGAGCTTGTATGGCTGCACTGAGAGGCAGAATTTAGGGAGGACAAGGGGAGGCACTTGGTAGCAGAAATTAGGATTCGCAGACTGCATTAGGCAGTAAGATTTCTAGTGCTGGCCCTCAATAAGCCTTAAGTACATGTGGGAATTTATTTATTCAGGACTCAGATAAGCCTTAAGCATGTACAAGGAATAGGCATAAGTATAATAAATAACTAATACAATTCAGGCTTAATTGTCTCAGCACATGATAGAAGCAAAATAAAATTTAGCAGAACAACTTTAGTTGCCAGTATATGTGTATATTGAACGACAGCTAAATTTTATGATGATAGCTGTGAATCTGAAGGTTATCGGATATTGCAAACCAAAGGTGAAGTTTTCTTAATGGATTTTGCATAGAAATGTGGAGAAGTGGCAATAAATGAAGATATAAAAGAAGTTTTTCTTTGTGATGACAATGCTCCTTAATCATAAATTAATTAACCGATGGCAAATCTGTAGTATGGTTTTAGATCTAGAAAATACTGCTATCGATAGTGAACAAAGTGATAGAGAGGTTACTGAAAACGAAAAAATTTTGATTGACAAGCTAGTCGAAAATCTAGACACAGCAATTCCAGGAATTGAGCAATGTAACTGAACAAGAAAGTCTACAGAACTAAAGAGAAAGTATTAGCACCGGGAAAAAAAAAAAAAAAAAAAAAAAAAGCAACTTAAACAACCTAAAAGAAATGTTTAATAAAGTAAATAAATAAATATGAACTGTTTGACTGCTATGTGGCGCAAAAGAGCTGCTCCTTTGTCTCGAAAACTGCGACCTCTGACCTCACGCGTACTTTATAAGACGAGTGCATTCTAAAATAACTAACTGTGTCGCTGTTTTCGAGACAAATGAACGCAGCGAACGTAGCAGTCAAACGGTTAAAGTTTTTTTTTTTCTAAATTTTGATACCTTTTATATCATAAATGCTTCATTATTCCATAAATCATGATTTCATATTTTTAATTTTAATATTTCTACATGCCATCTTACTAGATTTAAACTGATGATCTAATACCCGGAAATATCCCAAATTCAGAATTGTGGAAGTCATGATGAGTTCGGATCTCGGACTTTATACTATAATATCCTTTTTTATTTCTTTACTTAATATACTTGAAAATCACTGCATTTAAGGAGATAAACAGCTATCTTGTCTAAAATTTATAGCACAAGAGCAGATGATCCCCCAAAATGTCACGAACTGCTCCAAAAAGTTTAATAAAATAAGCAAGCATAATTTATCATGTTACGAACAGATAACTGAAGCAGGTTGGTAGAATAAGTATGGTTTATCAGAATATTACTCAAAGTATAATACACACAAGTACATAGTACAGAAACAAAATTTGGAATTCAGAGCTTGAAAATTTTACAAGGGCATATCTACAAAGAAATGGGGGAAAAAATAGAAAATATGCATATTTATTCTAACAACTGAACCAGAGTTTCAAAAGAATGAATGTAACAAGGGATATCTTATTTGTAATGTGAAAAAGTAAAGAGTATGATAAAACACTGGAAATAATTCTGCCAGAGTTGGAAAATATGAGCTTATAAATGGCACTTATAACTTCATTTCCACATATTACATTTCTTATTGCTTAAATAGCCATGCCTGCAAGGTATGCCCATCGAACTGCAAAAAGCTTTGAGCTTCTACGAACTACACTTAAATGAACATCCAAAACACATAAGCTCTCAGAATGGCTTAAAAATACTGGGGGGGGGTACATTTATTGCTGTACACAACATATATTATTTCAAATACAAAAATAACAGAGGAACCAAGTTAACATAGAAGCTGCACTAACATATTTATAAAAACATAAATAGAGCTAAAAGAATACTGATGAGCTACTCAAACATTTTCACGTATATTACATAAAGGGGAGGGGGAAGGAAAATATGATGAATGTTTTTTTTTCCAAACATATTTAATAAAAAAATTCTGAAATGTACATAAGAGTTTGAAATGGGAAGCACATACTAAAATAGCATGTTTAACCTGCAAGCCGTATTTCAAGCTGTTAACGTGGCAATCAAGTAAACTGTAGTAGTGTAAATAAAATTTAAAAATGGAAGAAGTTGTAATGCGAAATGCAATTTCAGGATGAAAAGATAATAGCAGCTTTTGAAAATATGGAGGATTCTTAAAATTCTAACATAAAAACAGTTTTCTTTTTCATTCATAATTTTTAAAAAATTAATTTCAAAAATACACAGTGATGCACTTCAAACTTTTTTTTGAAAAAAAGGTGACGAATTTCATCAAAGTTCTGAAGCACGTATAAATGTTTAAAATGAAACATCAGTTATCTCCCAAAATATTATATTAAATGATATCTAATTTGCTCATAATGTTTATAAGCTAGGTCTTTCCTTAAATTACTGCTCATTAAAAACTTCATATTATATGAGCTGTGAATTTTTTTCTACAAAAAGAGAGGAAGAGAAATTTAAAGCATCTTCAAGTCAAATTTCATTAAAACATTTAAAAGGGGATATGTAAAAGTTTTACTTTTCTACATCAGTGAAACATTTTGAGCAAATTCTTATGAGAAATAGCTAAGAAACCAATGACAATAGCATTTTTATATACAAACAAAAAATGAAAAACTTTTTCTGAAACTGTTAAAATCTAAGTACATGATGTGAGCAGATGGTAACTTTTAACATGCCAATGTATTTCCTAAGATTTACATATTTATACAAATTATATAAAAATCAAGGTGTATGAAAACTATAAAACTAAATTCATTTGAAAAATGTATATAACAGTAAAAGTAAATTATGAATAAAAGTCTCCAAATGAGGGATAAAACCATATCATTCACAAAATGCTTATTAAATATATTTTTACATGAAGTGGGATATATATATATATATACTTATGGTATGGAATGTAGAGCTCGCAATACAGCCCAGTTAAAAAGAAATTAAAAAAATTCTGTCTACCATTTTGACACTGAAAGCTTCACGAAGAGGAAGCAAAATATGCATTCTGTTTCTTTTTCTCTCCTAAAATGTCAAATTATCTTCTCAGAAAGAAAGCAACCATCTTGTATCTGAAATATAAAAATTAATAAATGACTTGACTAAGAAAATTTCTGTAAAGCTATGTATAATACATCAACAAATCTAAATGAGATATTTAATAATATACATATATTACAATGTAAAGTTTGAAATCCAGATATCCAATTTCTGGGATGATTTAAAATCCAGATCTCACAGCCACCAGTTCCCCCCCCCCCCACAGAAATTTTTTGCTGTGCTTAAATGTTTTATCCACACACATTTGCTATTTTTTCATAATAAAATACATAGAGTCCTGATACTTAATTTCATTTCAGCATTAAATAAAACACCTCCATGTTGAAGAAGCACAATCATTTATTAGCATAAATTTGTACAATCAGTATAGCTGGCCTCTTTGCTAAGCCCACATTTAAAACTGAAATATTCTACAATAATCATGGCAACCTTGCAAAACATTTTTACTATTTTTTGCTTTCAGTTTTTTTAAACAATTAGTAATATCAAACAGCACAGTAACTTTATATGCTGACATTATGCTTGGTGATGATTACAGACTTCAGCCAAATGTTCTGCGAAGTGTTAAGTGTGTTGCCGAGGAGAAATTTTACAGAAATTGTTTTCTATATGCAAAAAAGATTTTTTAAAAATTATACTTATAGGCCAGATAATTACATTTAGTACTGTCTGAATTAATAATATTTGTTATTCACAAAAGTCCAGGGCTAATGTAACTGCATCAGTTGGCAAAATTTTTAGAAATTAAGGAAACACCGAGCAACAAAATTAAAGGAAGACAAAATCTTTAGAATTTAGCATGGTGCCTAGCAGCAAAATGTAGGATCTGCAAAGATGCATTGGGCAGCAAAACGTCTAGTGCCAAACTTGGATAAGCCTTAAGTACGTGTAAGGGTTTTTTTTTTAAAAAAAAAATTCAGGACTCACTTAGGCATGCGTGAGAAATAGATGTAAATATAACATACAACTAAACTAATGTAATTCAAACATAAGATAGAAGCAAGACAAAATTTAGCAGAATAACAAGTCTTCAGTCACCAATCTTATCATACATCACCAACAGTGTACAGCAGACGCTAGCTAAGCTATATGATGATAGCAGCAAATTTTAAGTTTTTCGGATATGGCAAAAATGCAAAATTTTCCAATTAATGGAATTTGAAAATAAATTTGAAGAAGTCGTAATAAAGGAAGATGGTATGACAGAAGATTTCCATTGTGAGACAATCCCCAGTAGTTAATCAACTAACATCTACGAAATCTGTAGTATGGTCCTAAATGCAGAAAATATTGTTATCGATACTGAAGAAAATGAGAGAGGTTGATGTGAATGAAAGCTCTAATCGACAGTTTAGTGGGAATTTAACACATGGCAGTTATAGGATTTGAACAATGGGACTTTGTAAAAACTTGGCAAGAAATTTGAAAGAAATGTGTAATAAAGCAAACAAATATTCAGCTTTCTTTTGCGAATTTCAATTACCTTAAGGCATAAACAATTCATCATTTCATAAACTATTTCATATTTTAAATTTTATAATTTCTACAAATCATCTTACTAGAATTAAACTAATGATGTAAAATACGGATTCACTCAAGCCCAGATGAGTTCAGATCTCAGACTTTGTGCTGTAATAAAGTTTAAACCTGAACTGAGAGACTACAAGAAAATGAAATTATATTTATAAATAAATTAAAAGTTGTATAAAATCAATGCCGATATAACAAACTTCATATGTAAGCCGGATCATTTATAGGTCAAAAATAAAATTTCTTTGTTAGGTTGCAATAAACAAGCTTAAGACGTTGGTCCCTGGAGAATGGCAGTGTGGCTGGCGTCGGTCCCCCAGTGAACTTTCCGTGGCCTGCACTGGAATTTTCGTTTGGCTGGCGTCGGTCCCCGGGACTGACAGTATTAAAGTTAAAAAATAAATATAGTCCAAATGAAATGTGATCAAATTTAGTTTTAATGAAATGTATTGAAACATTCTAAACAAAAATACGGCTTAGCTCGCTGCCGGCTGAATGGAAAGGACAGCAAATTCGGTGCCGCACTCAACGTGTTAATAAAGGTCATTCAATTTTAAAAAGTTCCATTATGTTTTGATAAAAATGTGTATATTCATATGAGTGGCCATTAAGGTGGTTTGTCGACAAATGTCTGCCTATTCTTTCAATATAAGCAAATTTAGCCCTGCATTATCACATAAAAAAATGCAGTGAAGTACTGAAAAGTCTGCTGCTACATAGAATACATCCTCAAAATTCTGCTGAATATCACTTTTTTTTTTTTTTTTTTGCATTTTTTCGATTAGTATCAATACTGAAAAATAGAGGGCACCACAACTCCATTTTGGAGGATAGTCAATTTTCATTCTGGGGAAACATTTAATTTTTCTGCATTAAAATGGTTAATTTTTTAATCTTAGGAAACGAAGTAACATTTACAGATTCACCATGACATGATTCATTCATCAAAATGTTATTTCTACAGAACAAAATGTCCATATACATCCATATTCAAATATTTTTTTGCAAACCTAAATGTTTCGGTAATGACATTGCATCTTTCGTCAAGTAGGATATTTGATGAATTTTTTCATGCCTGTGTTGTAGACCATCTGCAGAGTTGAACAGGTTTTGGATGTATATATCCCCCCAGCCTCAAGCAATTTAAGAGGACAAAAATGCTGAAAAGCTTTCATTAGCCAATCAAATCAACAAAACATTGAATGCTTCCAATAGCCATCTGCAGAGTATGGAAACCATAACGAGTCAGTGCATTCAACGAAAAATTTCTCAGGAGCAATGTTTGGCTCTCCGCTAAATATAATTCAAATAATACTATAAATATTCAGCTAAGTGTTATGCTAGAACGTGGAAAGATCATTTGATATTTTTTCAGAGAGCATTAGGGATATCTTTAAAACTACCTCAGTTACCAATTTTGAGCCATTATACGTAAAATCTTGAATACTGAGCTGTGGATTTGCAGAATTAAAAGATCGTTTAATAAGGGATAGAATAGTAAGTAGAATTCTAAATAAAAATCTCAAAGATAGATTATTAACGGAAGATCAGTTAACATTGGAGAAATGTATAAAAAATTGTAAAGCTTCTGAATTAGCAGAACTTCAGATGAAAAATTTAACTGAAGAAAATAAAATAGAAGTGATCAAACGTAATAAATTTCGACCTTCAGAGGAAAAAAGTCAGCCTTGTAAGAAAGACTATCATGTAAAACAAAAGCAAACAAAGTACTAAATCTTCTTCAAACTATCAAGGAAATAAGTACAATAATCCAAAACCATGTAGAAAATGTGGAACTTTTCATAAGTTATACAACTGTCCTGCTTATAATAAGATTTGCTTGTACTGTAAAAAGAAAAATCACTTTTCTAAAATGTGCACTTTATAAAAATGTTAATGTTGTACAGAATAATTTAGAGCATGAGTTACATAATAATGGTAATGAATATATTTTAGGGTCAGTAGAAGATACAAATCCATTTTCTAAAAATAAAACCGAATGGTTTGAAAAACTAAAAGTAAACATATCTAAATATTTATTTGTTAAGTTGGATACTGGAGCTCAGTGTAATGTGCTACCATTGCCTAAATTTAAACAATTAAATTTAAGAGAGAAATGTTTGACTAAATCAAAAGTCACTTTAAATAATTACAATGGTACTACAATTGATGTAGTTGGAAAATGTAAATTATTATGTGAAACATCGAAAGGGGACAAGGATGAAATAGAATTTCAAGTCGTAGCATGTGATAAAACTGTTCCAGCTATTTTAGGTTTACCTACATTGCAAAAATTAAACCTAATACAAAGGATTTGTACAGTAAATCCTGATTCCAATGAAAAGTTACCAGAACTTTTAAAAGGATATCAAGATTTGTTTAAAGGAACTGGGAATTTAACTGGATATACATATCATATTAAATTAAAACCAGGAGCTGTTGGTAAAATAGAACCCTGTAGGAAAATTCCACTTAGCTTATTAAGTCCATTAAAAAAGGAATTAGCAAGAATGGAAAAAGATGGTATTATAAAGAAAGTTAATCAACCAACAGAATTCGTGAATTCATTAGTGGTAGTAAGGAAAAAGGATGACAATTTAAGAGTGTGTTTTTTAAGAGTGTGTTTAGATCCTCAGCACCTTAACCAAAATATACTGAGAAAACATTATCACATATCAACCTTTGAAGAAATTTCATCTCAAATGACAAATGCAAAGGTCTTTAGTATTTTAGATGCAAACAAAGCATTTTGGCAAATTAAACTGTCAGATTCAAGTTGTGAATTTACTACATTTAACACTCCGTTTGGTAGATATTGTTTTTTTTTTTTGAGGTTGCCATATGGACTGAGTTCATCACCAGAAGTTTTGTTTTTCTGAAATTTTTTAGTGATTTAGAAGGAGTTCAATATATATATAGATGACTTATTAGTTTGGGGTAAAGATAAAAAAGAACATGATTCAAGATTAAAGAAGTTGTTGGACAGAGCCAGAGAAAAAAATGTTAAATTTAATTTAAAAAAATGTAAATTTGGGCTAAATGAAGTGAACATATATTTCCTAAAGATGGTTTAAAACCAGATGAAGACAAAATTAAGGCTATTCTAGATATAAAACGACCAAAAAATGTGAAAGAATTAGAAACTTTCCTAGGAATGATTACATATGTTTCTAGATTTATACCTAATGTATCAGAATTGACATCATGTTTAAGAGATTTGTTGAAAAAAACAAGTTATCTGGAACTGGAATGCAACACATGAAAAAGCATTTAGAAGACTAAAAGATGTCTTGGTAAATAAACCAGTTTTACAGTATTATGATATAAACATGCCAGTAGTTTTATCTGTAGATGCATCTCAAGAAGGACTAGGAGCAGTCTTACTGCAGAATAATTTACCAGTGGCATATGCATCTAAGGCATTAACAGATACACAGAAGAATTATGCTCAAATTGAAAAGGAAACTTTAGCTATTGTATT